TCCCCAGTCCCTCTTCAAGACTTTGGAGGCTCCAGATGCCTTAAGTCCCACTGGCTCTTGGGTTCACAAGAGGTCAAGGCTCCGAAAGAATTTAAAGTGGAAGGACACAGCGTACCAGAGTTTCCATAGAATGTTGGTGACCTCTCAGCGGGATTCTAGGTGGGTCAGGGATCTCTGGTCATCTCAGAGGTAGTGTGGAGGGCTAGGGGTTGATGGGGGCTTGGGGAGTCTTTGGAGGCAGCTTCAATGTGCACCTGAGGAAATCCCTGGTATTTAGGGAGTTCTATGTTGTGGGAAATCCTGGGGCTCCCAGGATCATCACCTCATTAATCTGGCGCATCCTTCGTTCCTCCAGGTCCATCTTGGCCCGCAGGAACCCCTCGTGCTCGCTGATTTCTCCAGGCATGCCGAAGTACACATCCACACCATCTGTGGGCCTTGGAGTGGTGGTCACTGCAAGGCCAGGAGTCAGGGAATCCCGAAGCCCATGGCCTGGTCACCTCCCCTCCCTAGAGCACGCTGGAGACCACCATGTGTCCACATAACCATAGCTGCTATGGGGCATCATGAGAGATAGAGTTCTGAACCAGGCCTGTTTTTGTCAAGCTTAGGAATCCATTATACCATCCTTTAAGCTTCCCCAAAATAATCCTTAGGAACTACCAGATGGCTCTTTTACCTCCACGTACCCCCAAACCATCCTCAGCCTTTGCATTCTTCACAGGACAGCCCTCCCACCTCTTCTTTATCCCAAGTTACTCCCATCCCTTCCATTCCCCCAGCTCTCTCCCCAACAGGTCCCACCTAAAGATGCCTCTACACTAAGGCTCCCTCAAATCATCCTCCCTCCAGGGAAGAGGGAACTAAGGGTCCAGAGACTGTCTCACCTTTGCTGACCCCTGCAGGGCTATGGGAGCTTGAGGGTAGAATTCTTTCCTCCTCATCTTCCTCTTCAGCCCGTGGGGGTTCCACGAAGTAATCATCCACTGGCTGTAGGAAGGATTCCTCTTCTTCCTCCTCCTCAGCCCCCTCTACTCTGCCCCCTAGGGGCCAGGAGCGCGTGGAGGGGTCACTGAGGGAACAGAAGACTTAAGGCAATGAGAATCTGACCTGGGCCCCCAGGCTTCCATTTCCTGCCTCAGGAGCCTCGGGATGTGCATGGAAGGTTCCCTCCCACTCACCCAGCTGCTGTCCCAGACGGATCGGGGGTCACTGGTGGGGGGCAGCACACATACTCCACACCTCGGAACCGATCTGTGCCACAGGGCAAAAGCATGCCGGAACCATGCAGGATGAGGCCCTGGGAACTGCAGGCCTGCAGAAGAACAGGCCCAGATGCCACGATTGTGTGTTAGGAGAGGGGTAGAGGGGAGTCCGGATGCCTGGGGCTTGGGGTCTGATGGGGCTGGGAGCCTGGATTCCTGATTCCGTCCCAGTGGGAAGAGGGGGCTGAGGCCCAGACTCAGGTTCTGTTAGGGGACTGGAATCCTGGGTTCTAGGGGGTGAGGATGGATGGGCCAGGATCCTGACCTCCTGCGCCTCTTGATGCCTCCGGGTGGAACTCTCACACTGGTCCATGCGCTCCTGGTGCAAGAACCGGCAACCTTCAGGCACCAGCAGGGCCTCGCTCACGAATTCACCTGCTGGGGTGTGGGGGTACCAGAGTGAGACCTTCCCACAGACATTAGCCCCACCCTCCTCTGAATCCAGACATTTTATCCTCCGAGATTTCTCTGCCCCACTCTGGACCCAGACGTCCAGATCCCTAATGTGAGCCTGAGCCCAGGGCCCAGAATCTCACCCCCCGGGATACCCCCACTTCTGTTCCCCTCCCCCAGCCTATAACTCACGCAGGCAGCGGAAAGGCACAACCTGGTGGTGGGGATGGGTACAGCGGCCACCCCGGGCACCCCCGCACCAGCGCTCCATGGGGATGGCTTGCGTCGCCTGTTCCACACGTGCAATCTGCAGCTCCGGGTACATCTGGGGGCACCGGGTGGGGGCGATCAACCCACAGCCTCACCCCTGTCAGCCGTGCTTACCCACTGGCCACGTCCCTTTTCAAGGCTCTAGTGATCACCCTAGGTCTTAGAAATCTCAGCCAGCAGGCCCCCGGCCACGCCCCCAGTAGCTCTCGTTCAGAAGCCCCGACAACCACCCAGAAACTTAATCCCTGTAAATCCATCTCTCTTCTGGTCACTTCTGTCCCCTCCCCCAACAGGTTTGGTCCTCCCTTAAGCCTCACCTCTTCCTCGGTTTGGCTTCTCAGGAAGCGTCCTTTCTCTTTGTATTAGAACTGCCTTTTCGAAGAAGCCACCCTCCCAGCTTTCCACTCTCATTGGGCTCCACCCCATTTCCCATCCTGCAGGTCCAAAAGGTCTTTTTTCTGAGCCCCGCCTCTCCTTCGGCCAAGCTCACCGACATTCCTAGTCTTTAAGGACCCCACCCCATATTGCTAAACTGTCTCTTCACTGGATACCATCCTTAGCCGGCCCTCTTTGCACAGTTCCTGACCCAGTTTCTCAAAAACAGATCCTAAATTCGCCTCTTTCTCGGCCACGCCCCCTAGCTTCCCCGGCCTACTTGGATCCCTCATCCTCCCCGGACCTTGCCTTTTGCACCACTAGCTTCTTTCGGGGGACCCGGCTCGCTGACCACGCCCCTCCAGCAGGGCCCGCCCACCTGTCTGCAGTATTCCAGCGCGCGCTGCGGGTCCCGGAGACAGCGTCGCGAGCGCTGTGGGTCTGGTTCCCAGCGGCCGGTGCGCAGGTCCCGGTGAAGGGTTAGGTGCCGGCATAGTCCAGCAACCTGGGCCGACCCCGGGGCCTGGGGTCGGGTCAGAGGGGTCAGCGAGGGCCGCGGGACGCCCGCACGTGTGTCCCCCGGACGTTCGCTCCGTAGGACCCAGAGGTTCAGACCCCCCAGCACCAGCCCCCTCCGCAAAGCACCGCGCACCCGCCTCCTAAGAGGGACTGTTCCCCGGGAAACAGCTCCCACTGGGCGGGGGCGCCCCAGCTCTCCCGTTGCCACGGCGACCCAGGTCCCCGGGGTGTCTCGCGGCCTTGTTGCCGCGGAGACAGGCTCCGCCCCCACCCCGGCGCAGCCGCACTGAAGCCCGAAGGGGTTAAAACCTAATCGCGGGGGAGGAGGCCAGAACCCAGGCGTTCGGGCCCCTCCTCCCTCCGTCCCTAGCTCAGGGTCCCATTCTCCGATGCAAAGACGACAAGGCCTGGCTTCAGGGCCCTGCAGGCCTGGGCTGGAGAGCCACATCCTGGGTCGGGCGGGGGTCGGTGGCTGGAGACCTGGACTCCTGGGTTCTCGGAGGCTGCGGGAGCCTTCAAATGGGTCCAGAGGATGCCAGGGACCAACACACTTGGAACCGGGTGTCTTACTGTCTGGTGGGTCCCCATGTTTGGGTGGGAAGGGGCTGGGGCTGAGTCACCTAGGTCAAGAGGCTGGACTTTGGGGACCGGGGGCTCTGGAACGGCCAGTTCCTAAGCTAGGGGCAGAAGGCGGCGGGAGGACGGAGGCTGGGGCCTGAACTCCTGGGTTCCTGGATGCCCCGTGCCGTTAGGGGCGTTAGGGGCCGGCCCCTCGGCTGGAAGGGCTGCGCTTTCCGCCCTGGACGTGTCCGCGTCCGGGTCCCGGGCCCGGTCCCGCCCCGTCCCCCATCCCCCAGGACCCGGCCGGGCCTCACCTCGGCCGCGCCGGGGCTCCCACCGGCCAGGCTCCCGACGGCGAGCTGCGCGCGCAGGAGGAGCAGCAGTAGCGGCAGCGACAGCGGCAGCGGCGGCGGGCCCCGGCGGCGGCCCAGACCGCGAGCGGCGGGGCTGCTGGGCCCCATGTCCCGGCCCTCGCGCCCTCGCGTCCCCTGCGCTCCCGCCCGGCCCGGCCCGGCCCCAGCGGTGACAGGAGCTCCCAGCGCCGCCGCCGCCGCCGCCGCCTCCTCCTCCCGCCGCCCCCGGGCTGCGCCGGCGCCGCCAGCCCCGCCCCGCGCCGGCCCCGCCTTCGCGGCCAGGACAATAGCGCGGCGGCTCTGCGCAGCCGGGGGCGGCCGGGGGGCCGGGGGGAGCGGCGCGGGCCCCCGCCCAGAGCCGCGGGATCCCAGCGCGTGCCGGGGCCTGGCCCGGAGCCTGGGTCGTGCGCTCCGCGGTGCTGAGCCTTTCCTAGGCCCCTCGCGCCCAGCCTTCCCTCCCTCAGAGCCAGACACTCCCACATCAGCCTCCTCTTGCAGCCGCGCCGGCGTTGGAGACCTCTCCCCCCAGCAAATTCCTCCCCGGAGGTCCCAGGAATACGGGCCCCCCAAATTCCCCCAGTGGAGGACCCAGCAGCTGAGGGCCGGTCCCCTTCTCCCTCGGTTCCAGGAGTCGGGGCTAAAGGCACCTTCTTTTCAGGACCTGAGACCAAGCCCCTGCCCTTTCTCCCCGGAGTCTTGGCCTTCTGCTCTGCCTTCCAAGGATCCCAGGTGTCTGGACCTTTAACTCCTAGCTGGGGGATTCATAAACCAAAGCCCCCAGGCCCTTCCTTTAAGGATGACCTGAGTCAGGTACCCAGCACCTCGGGGCGAGGGGCTCAGCCATCCTTGCTTTGAGGACCCCGACATTTCTATTCTCTCACCCCTACCTCTCCCTCCCGGCTTCCTCTCCAGGGCTCACTGCTGTTTCCCCAAATAACTAGAATGCTGTCTTCCCCAAGCCCACTGGAGCACTCGTCATGTATGTGCATCTGCGCATGTATGTTTGTGTAGATGTGTGTCAAAAGAGCTTAGAAGGCCAAGTGGGTAATAAAGGGCCGAGAGGTGGTCATGGTTTGTTCCTACAGCCACTCAGGGCCTAGGGTAGAGGAAGGGCCTTGGGGCAGATTTAATGGACCGCTTCCTTCCGTAAGGTAATGATGCCAGGAGAATCCCCAAGACGCATTCACTTCTCAACATTTTTTTATTAAACATAAATATTCTTATCCCCAGGTTCCACCCCTACCCACCCCACCCTCTTCCTCTCTCCTGCTGGCAGTTCTCACCCTATCCTCACTCCTTGGTGGAGTCAATTCTTCCAGGACCTTTAAAGAACTTGGAAGGATCAAGATAGTTGCTCTCTTGGGTTCCCAGAGAGTGAACAGCCATCTTGGCTGCACTTCCATTGGCCAAGCAAAGTGCCCCTCAGGGAGAACCAGGACAGGGGCCTGGTCTGGCTTCCATCTTAATCTGTCCTATGTTGCCTGTCTTCTCAGTATAGGTGATTGGTCACCTTGAAATCTCTTCTTTCAATGTCTGGAAATAACATCCATCCCTGCCCCTACCTCCTAACACCTCCTGTCCCCATCCCCCTACAAAGAGCTCATCTGCCATCTGGAATCTCTTTTACACTGGGGAATAGTTGGTCAAGTGGCCATCTTGTTCCCACTTGGAGCATCCCCTTTGGCTGAGCTGATTGTACACTAGTGATCCAGATGATCGTAATGATCTTTCTCTCCCATCAATGTTCAGTTTTGGAGGAGTAAGGTCACCAACTTTTTTTCTGATTCCTTAGAAATCAGGACAATCCATTATGGCAAGTTGAAGATTCTAGGCCTCTTCATTTGGAGAGGTATCATACATGAGTCTGGAGACGCGGGTGGCTGGGTGTGGGGAAGGCAGCATAGGGGAAGGGTAGAGTCCTGGGGTCCAGATCTGGGGGTCCAATGGATGTAGGTTTGATGTAGCTGGTAAAAGCTCGAGGGTGGGGTGTGGTGAGATAACCTGCCCGAGCTCTATACAGTCTGCAGGGGGGGACCATGCCTAGGTGTGCGTTGAAGTCATAGAAAGTAGGGGTCCCTGGAGGTCCAAGAGGGGAGGGGGGCGGCAGGAAGAGGCCTCCTCCAGGGCCTTCACCAAGGCTCAGGCTCACACTGACTCCTCGGACCTTGTAGTAACCATTGGTTGGATCCTGAGGGAACAAATTGGATTGGTTAAGGTATTTGAGGATATTGGGGGAAGTTACGGTCCCTAATGGAGAGTCACACTTAAAGCAAGACCTGAGAGAGACAAAAAGACAGAAACAGGAGCAAGCGGAGACCCAGAGAGAAAGACAGACATATAGACCGATAGGAAGACAAAAAGGGGCAAGAAAACAATGACAAGAAACAAAGGGACAGAAGGAAATGGGCAGGAAAAGGCAACAACAGAAGAACAGAGGCCTGCTAGGGCCTGGTGCTATGGAAGGAGATGCAGCAGGAACAGACAGATTGAGACCAAGACATTCAGTCACCTGCCCACCAGCCCCAAGGCTTTGATTCTGTGTCATGCCTTACGCTGTTGCTAGAGGTATCTATCGTGGGGAGAGACAGGGTCCTGCCTTCATGGAGATCCCAGGCCAAGGAGCAAATGGCAAATCCCCTAAGTCCAAAGGGGTCAGAGTAGTGATGGGGAAAGTACAGGCAGAGTGATAAGGCTTTATGGGGAAGCACAAGCAGGGTTTCTGGGCTGGGACAGGAGGCCAGGGCAGAGTGGTCCTGGTTGTGACAGGCGGAACACAGAATGATCAGGGCAGTGAGGAGGGAAGCACGGGCTTTCTAGAACAAGAAATATTTGAGCTGAGACCAGAGGAACAAAGGACAGAATCAGATAGGTATGGGAAGGAAAGTAGTGTGTCAGGCCAGTGGAATGGCACATGCTATGTACACAGGAGACAGAGAAAGGCTCTGGACTGGGGACTGAGGTCCGTGGAGCTCAAAAGAAGGGGACTCACAAAAGGGGCAGGTTTGGGGAGAACTGAGGCCAGTGGGGGACCTGGCAGAGGCATCCAGGAGGCCTGAGGTGGGGGTGTGATGGGAAAGCACAGGCTGAGTGAGGCCAAGGCTGGACAGGATTGTGGGCATAATCAGCAGATGTGCAAACAGGCTGGGGAGGTGAGTGAAGTGGCCTAGGAGGCAAGAAGAAAGGGTGAAGGGGGGGCTAGGCCCCTCATCTGGGGGGCAACAGCATGAAAAGGGAGGGGACCAAGCAGGGAGAGAGCTAGAGACCCAGTGAAGGGAACCCCTCTGTTTCCAACACTCACCTTGGTCTCCAGAGCCCCCTCCTCATCCAGAATGAGGTCACTGTGGTCCGTGTGCACGATGGGGCCCTGGGGTAGGGTGCTTAGTAAGAGGGAGTGCTCAGAGGATCCTGTTGGCCCAGTGCCAAACACTGACAACCCCTCAGCTGGGGGCACTGGGGACCAGGCAGGAGGGGCCAAGAGCCTCTGGAGCTGGGGTCCAGATACAAGACAAAGGGCCCCGGGACATATTTGGTCTAGGGTATAACTGGGTGGGTCAGGGGCATATTTGGACTTGGGGGTCACTTGTCGGGAGCCAGACCCTCTTTGAGTTGGAGGGCCCAGTTGGGACTAGGAGAGCAGCTGGGTTTAGGTTACGAATTGTTCTAGAGGCAGAGTTGGGTCTGGGGACATCCTACCTGGTCCTCGCCGCTTCCTGTCTCCTCCTCAGGACCCCGAGAACTGGAGCCATCGCTGCTGCCTGGGATTCGCACCAGGTTCTTTTGCTTGGAGAAAGAGGCTGAGGCCAGGGACAGTGGGGCAGCAGAGAAAAGTGATGGGGGCAGGGTCACAGTTTGTGGAGACCAGGGAGCAGGAAGAAAGAGGACTGGGCTGGGTCAAGAGGCTGTGTACCAATAGGAAGCTGGTAGGTTAAGGAGTGTGACGCTGAGAAGAAGGACATAGGGGTTGAGGGAGGAATCAGGGCCTGAAGGTGAGCCAGAGACCAAAGAGGTGGGACTGGGACCAGGTCAAGGCCAGGTCAGTTGGGGTGAGGTAGGGGATGGTACTGAGGTAAGGCTCAGTCACTCACCCTTGCTGTGGCGCCAGCAGCAGAGGGTCACCCCAATGATGAGCATGAGAAGAGTCATGCCTGCAGCAGCCACTCCAGCCACAATCCGCACAGTGGGCAGCAAGTCTACAGGGAGGAGAAGGGGTGTTTCTGTTTTTGTTTTAAAGATTTTATTTATTTCTTCGTGAGAGACACAGAGAGAGAGGTAGAGACATAGGCAGAAGGAGAAGCAGGTGCCCTGCAGGGAACTCGATGCAGGACTCGATCCCAGGACTCCAGGATCACAACTGAGCTGAAGGCAGATGCTCAACCACTGAGCCACCCAGGTGTCCCAAGAAGGGGTGTTCTGAGGAGGCTAAGTGTGAGGCCCAGGAGGAACTGGGGAACTGGGATTTGGCTTGCTTGGGTTGGAGTGTCTGGGTTCAAAAGGCCGTCAAGTTTGAGAATACCCAAGTCTGTAGTCTCTAGCTTGGGGTCCTTCAGGTTTAAGGCCTCTTGAATTTGGGGTTCCCCAGGTTTTAAACTCCCTGGCTTTAGGGAGTCCTAGAGTTTGAGGGGTTTTTAATTTTGCGATTCCCCATATTTGGAGCCTCCCTCCTTTGGGGCACCTAAGTGTGAGGGGGCCTCTCAGTTTAGAATTCTATATTTAAAGGAATTTACTGTTGGGGGGGGTGCTCAGGATTCAAGGGACTCATGAGCTTTGAGGCTTTCAAGGTTTGAGGTAGTCCGCGTTTGGAGGTCCTGGGTTTGAGATTGTTGCACTTTGGGGGTTTGAGATCCTCAGATTTGGAGGCTTCAGGCCGGGAATCTCACCTCTACGGCCCAGGCTGACCTGGGTGCCTCCCTCACCCAAGCGGTTCCTGGCACTGCAGTTGAAACCCCGACTGAAGTCGGACTCCTGGGTCCCGGAAATGTGTAGCACAGAGATCAGGGCTGGGCCCTGTCCCCCGCGGCCCTCTGGGGCTGGGAATGTCTCCACCAGGAACCGACCCTGCGACCCCGCCGCCAGAAAGCCCTCATCCCAAGACCAGACCTGGGGGCACAAAAAAAGGGAAGTCATTAAGGAGATTGGAAAGGGAGGGAAGGGCGGGCAGGGTGTCGGTCACAGCAGTTTTGGAGGTCCGGCCTGACGGTCAGGAGAGCGGGGACATTTCCTTACCACGGCATCTGGGGCTGGGGATGCGAAGACTAGACATTGGAGGCGGGCGGGGCCCCTCAGGAAGGCGGGCGCAGAATGCAGGGCGGTCACGATGGGGGGAGCTGGTTTGGAGATTGCGGGCGCGTCAGAGAGAAGCGCTGCCCGCGGAGGCTCCGGTGGTCAATCAGGCGCGGCCAGGTCCTGGCCCTTCCCACCAACGCCGCTCAGCCAGGCCACGCCCCTCGGCAGCCTCGGATCCTCCCGGGGGCTCGCCCGCGCGGGGTCCCGCTCCTACCCCCGGGCCCCGGTCCAGAGAGCGCGCCCTTCCAGGCCACGCCCACCCCGCTGAGCGCTCGCCCGCTCCGCGCGTTCCCCGTCCCGGGCTCTCCGGCCTTCTGGGCAGCGCCGCGTGCTCACCGTTCACCGTCAACCTGGCCTCCGCGGCGCCGCCCCCCAGGCCCGAGAGCCCGGGCTCAGCCCTGCACACGTAGTCGCCGGCGTCCTCGGGCCCCACCGACGGAAGACGCAGCGTGGGCCCGGAGCCCAGCACCTGGGATGGGGAAGGGGCGTCAGGGGCAGGACCTCGAGGGGAAGCCCCGTCCATCGCCAGCCACGGCCGCGGGCCCCAGATCGGGTCTCACCTGCGCGTCCCCGCTGCGGGTCCAAGTTACCCGTGGGAGCGGGTTCCCGCGCCAGGCACAGCTGAAGGAAGCGTCTTCCCCTATGTCTACTGACATGGGCTCTGGCCTTGCCTGCAGAACTGGCCCGACTGGAGGAGAGAGAGGAGACGTCGCATGGCCGGGGAGGGATGCAGCTTCTGACCCGGGATCAGCCACTCAGGGACGACACCCGAGGGCCCAAGTACCGGCGGCCAGTCCGCGGCAACTCTGCTCGCACGCCCCGGCCCCGCCCCTCTCGCCCCGCCCCCGGGCCCGCCCCGCCCCGCCTCTGACCCAGCCCAGCCAATCCCTGCCTACGTCCCGTTCCCGCTCCACCTCCTCCCGCGGCCGGCCGCGGCCACGCCCCCCTCCAGCCCCTAACCCCAGGCCGTCCGCCCCGCTCTGGCCACACCCAGGGCTCGCCCCGGCTCACACTGCACGTCCAGCGCGGTGCTGCGGTTGGCGCTGCCCACAGCGTTGCTGACCTCGCAGGACACCGGCTCAGTCAGGAATGAGGCGTCTGCCACGACCTCCAGCATTGGCCCGCGGGCCCCGAGCACCGGGGAGCCTCCCTTTGCCCACCTGCGGGGGGAGTGGGGCTGTTCGCGTCGTCCCTGCTCCCCAAGGACACCCACGGACGTCCCAATCTCAGTCTTCCCCAAATGCGTGCTCGGGCCTGAGGAGAGGTGACCATCGTCCTCACCTGTAGCCAGTGACAGGAGGCTGGGCTGTGGCCTGGCACAGGAAAGTGACCTTCTCTCCCTCCAGCACAGTCTGTGGTTCCGCAGACAGAGTCACCACTGGGGGATCTGCGGAGGTGGGTCAGCGGTCGGCGGTGGGCAAGGACCTGGAACACCTCCGTGGAGCTCCTGAGTCCAATGCCCAGCCTCTCACAGGCTGGGTGGCCAGGCTCCTCTGCCAATGCCCACTCTGGGTCCCCAGTATCCTCTTCCTTTTGAGTTGGGAGCCCAGGACTCCAGTTCCCAATGCCTCCAGGGCCCCAGGTCCACAGCCTCCTCCTTCCTCATACCCTGGAATCCAGTCCTCAGGCCCCTCTTTTCCCAAAGGTCTCTGGCTTCAGGGCCAGTGTCTAGTTGCACTCACACTGCAGGCTCAGTGTGATAGCTGTATCCTTCCCCGAGGGCAGGGCCTGGCTCCGGGCCCGACAGACCAACGTGGCTCCATCATCGTGGCTGGAAGGAGTCAAGGATAAGATGCTCTCCACTGACCCAGTTGTTCCTTCCTTCAGCAGGGGCTGGAGGTTATGAATAATAACAATGATTTCATCTACCCCTTATACAGTATTTACTATGTGTCACTTCTAAGCATTTTACATGTATAATCTTCACAAGTGCCCTATGAAGTGAATATTATTGTCCCTATTGTACAGATAATGAAACTGATGGACAGAGAGGTTAAGCTCCTTGAACTCAAGATCAACCAACTACCAAGTCGCTGAGCCAGGATTTGAACCTGGGTAGTCTGGCTCTGGAGTCCTTAACCTTAATCACATACCAAGGGTCCCAACACTTGAACCTCTTCCCTCCCATGCCCTTCTTTCCTCTGGATAAGCCTGTGGTCTGACTGGATCCCAAACGTCCCTGCATGGCCAAGGGCTGCATAGGGATTTGGACCTGACCTGGTGGAAGGTGGTCCCATCCAGCCGGATCCCATCTCGGAACCACAGCAGCTCAGGGGTGGGGCGGGCATCCCCACGGCTTCGACAGGTCAGATTCGCAGGAACCCCAGCAACCAGAGACACAAAGGGGCCGCCCAGCACCTGGGGGGCTTCTGGGGGCACTGTGGGTGTAGACTGGGGTCAGAGCTGGATCCTGGGACCAGAGGCCCCAATCTTCCCAGCTCTAATGACCATTCCTCTGGGCTCCCTGGACTCTGATACTCAGCTAGCACTGGCTGTCCACCCCCCTCCCCAGGTTTCCCAGGGACAAGTGAGCTGGGTCCTCACCCAGCACATGCAGTTGGGCAGGTCGAGAGCGGAGGCCTGCTTGTGTAGCCTGACATTCATATGATGCTTGATCCTCCAGCTCCACGGGCCTAATGTAAAGGTCGTGCTGGCCACTGGCCGCATTCCCTGATATCCAGTACCGGGACCACCCTGAAGTTAAGGAAGAGGCAGTCACACCATGGTTCTGAGTTCCTGGCCCCAGCCTCCCTCCCCAGACATCCCATACCAGAAAGACATCCCAAAGTGGGTGCTGGGCCAGACAGACTCTAACCCCCTCCCAGTCCAGAGTCATGGCAAACTTGGGGGTGGGTGAAAAAGTCAGAGAAAAGTGAAGAAACAATTGCCACGGAAGTCAAGATTAGATACTCCCTCTGGGGTGAGCAGAGGGCTATGATAGGAGGAAGGAATAGGAAAGGCTTCTGGGGAGTTGACCATGGACGTGAGTAGTAGTTACACGAGTAACTTTTTGGCAAATCTTACTTGTATGCTCTATGCATGTATGTTTCTGCATTTACGTAATATTTTGTGATACAAATAAAAACCCACTACCCACCCAGAGAAGAAGCTAAAACCTCCCAGATGTTTACCTGAGCCCAACAATTTTCCAAATTTGAAAACCTCAAAACAGAACCCCAGATACAGCCCAAGCCGTTGATAGAGCTGGAGCCAAACCGTCCTGAGTAGAGAGAACAGTCTCACCTGGCAAGTCCCTTTCACCCCCTAGAGCCAGTCCATCCTTAGTCCACTGAACCAGCCCCCAGTATTCACCCAGGGCACAGGGCAGACGGGCCTCATCCCCCAGCAGTGCCACCAGGTCATCTGGTTGTTGCAGGAAATGGGGCGACAGACCTAGGAGGACGGGGAGGGGGATGTGGAGCAGGGTTGAGTTTAGCGATGAGCTTAGCTCCCTCATTCAGGACCCAGGAGCCCAGCCTCCCAGAGTTCTCCTGCAGACCTAGGAGTCGGAGCCCCCTCCTCTAACCCAGTAAAGAGGCAGGGGGCAAACAATCCTCCCCCAAATTCACCCGCCCCTCGAGGTACCTGCATGGCCTCGGAGGCAGAAGAGGAGGACGAGGAGGGCGGGGACCAGCATTCTGAAAGTGTGGCCCCCAAGATCCCGCAGACTTGCTGTTGCACTGGCTTCCTTGCTAACTCCTTCCTCAACAGCACACCTCTCCCCGCTCCGGCCGGAGCTCCCTTCGCGCCCGGCTCCTCGCCCCAGCCTAGGAGCCACCCCGTTCCCGGCCTGGAGCGCCCCGAGACTGCTCAGCAGCCGGCTCCAACGCTGAAACCCAGGCGGGTTCCGCGCCCCGGGCCTCTCAGAGATCGGGGAGGGCCCGATCCCACTCGCCCCGCCCCCCGGGGCCCCGCCCCTTCCCATTGAGAAACTCCCGCGGCCGAGACGCGGATGAATGGGGCGCCGCAGGGCGGGGTCTTCCCGCGGGCGCCCCAGCCAAACTGGGGTCTGGGAGCCTGAACACCTGGGTCGACGGAGGGCGTCCCGGCTGGGGTGGACACCTGCACCCCCAGGCTTGTGGGGGGCACGGCGGGAGAGAGAGTGGAAGAAACTTGTCAGTCCCGGTCCTGGAGGGACCGCGCTGAGTGGAAACGGAGCTATAAATGGGAGCCCCTGGGGCTTCGCTAGTTTCCGCGCCTCGGGGAGGCGGGGCCCGGCGCTCCCCTGGGCCTGCGGGTCAGGAAGAGGACACTGGGGTGCCTGGGGGGGCAACCGGGACCCCTGAGGAGAGGAGGGGGTTCAGTTCTTCTCGCTTCGAAACCCCAGCTCAGAATATCCTGTGCCTGCGCGTTAGCGCTGCAAAGCACCGCAAGTCCCAGGGTCCGGGAAGCCAGGCCCCCAGCCCCTCCTTTCCCGAGACCCCGCAGTCCGGGCTCGGCCCCCCCCACGCCCCCCGACTGCGGTTGCCGGGCGACGGCGGGGCGGCGGCGGTGCCCGAGCTGCGGCGGGCGGGGAGGCTGGGAACCGCGCAGCTTGTCCTGACGGCTGCCTGCTGCCCAGCTGGGGCGTTCCCACGCCGCGGGCCCGCCGGGGCGCTGCGCAGCTGGCGGGGCAGGTGGGCGGGACCCCGAGCCGACGGAGTGGGGCCGGGGGCCTGGGACCCGGGGCCTGACATTCCGGAGCCCGCGGGGCCTGGGGGCCCACGTTCAGGTCCTTTGTTGCTCCTGAGCTCAGATTCTTGCTTCTCCAAATGGCAGGGGCTTGCACTCAGAGGCTTCTGAGCCTGGGCATTCACATCTCTGTTGACTGAGAAGCTAATGGCCCGAACTGGGAGTTTCTGGGGGAGTTGGAGACTCAACTAGTTCCCCTGCTTGCAGCATGGTGCAGTTGGGAGAGGACGACAGGGGGGTCAGAAAATCTGGTCTTAAGTCTTAGAGTCAGTGGATTAGCCACCAATCCCTCCCACCCCCACGCAGGCCCAGGAGGATTTGAAAATCACAGACAGTCAACATCTGCCCTAAGTCCTCTGTGGGGTGGGGGGAAGGGGTGGAGGCCTGAACTCTTGGGTCCTTGAGGAGAAGCAGCTGCAGGCCTGGACTCCTGAGTCTGAGAGGGGTGGGTCCTGGGGAGGACTCTGGGGGCCTGAGCAGGCTTCTGTTTGGGGAATCTAGAGCCGGGATTTCGACAGAGGATGAGCTTGGAGCCAGGACTCCTGAGTCTTGGGGAGAAGTCAGCTCGTATAAGGCTGTTTTTCCAGACACCTGACATTGCTTCCCCTTCCTGGCTCTCTTGGGCCACAGGCATGGAAAAATGGAGAGCCTGAGGTCCCAGGGGCATCCAGAGAAGGAAAACAGCCAAGGTGGAGGGTGGAAGGTTTGTGCTAATTAAAGGTCTCAGCAACTGACAGCTCTACACCCCCGCCCTGAGGGACACCATCTGGTGAGAGCCCCTATGACGGAACCTCCAGCTCTGCATCCAGTCCATTCCCCAGGAGGCGTGGGGGGCAGTTGGGAAAGATAGTGCAGGGGAGGGCAAGGAGTCTGGAATGGGAGGGAAGAAGAAAGAGTAGAGGCAACATTAAGGATGGAGCTGTGGGGGCTCCGGCCAGATGCCTCATCTTGTTCCTGGAGGAAGACCAGAGAAGGGAGTGTGGGGAGGGGGAGGCAGGGAGGGGAAGCCAGCAGTTCCAATTCCTGCAGGAGATAAGCAGGCAGAAGAAGCTTATCCCACGTGAGTGTCTGTGTGTGCACACTGGGGCGGGGGCGGGGGGCAGGCCGAGCAGCGTATGGTTACGAAAGTCAAAGATGTGACAACCAGGAGGATGCAGAGATGGAGGAACAAATAAAAGGAAGAAGTGTCTTCAAATGTTGACCGAGAACAAATATTTATTGAGCGTCTGGTGTGTGAGAGAGACAGAGCATGGGGAGTGGGGGATGGGGATGAGAACAAAGACAGGAAGACACGAAAAACCGAGACCCAGGCATAGAGGCGTAAAGAGAGACAGTGACATAGGTAAAGGCTGCCTGAGATGTAACCACCTAATGGAGAGGGAGGGAGGGAGGGGAGGAGAGACAGAGAAGCTTCATGAACTAGAACGCACGTGGCCATGGGGTTCCCAAGCTGGGCTCACTCCTATACACACTTAGTGCAGGTGGTCTTGGACGCTGCCTTTCACTCCACCCACTCTGGCTGCCCTGCACACTTATACCTTGGTCTGTCTTTCACACACGTACTCTTGCATATACTTTCCCAGCTCACATTTCGCTCTCACCTTCCCCATGCTCACACGCATGCTCATGCACCCATACACACACAAGAACACAGATATCTGCACTCTCACAGTCTCCCAAACACACTCTTGCACACCCCCCAGCAGAGGTGGCAACGAAAAGCTGTCTACTTGGGGAACGAAGAGGCTTGCCAAGGTCATGTACCAGGGGAGGGAAGAGATGGGGAGTCCCAACCCCACGCTGGGTCCAGATCTCCACCTGGATCTGACCTGCTCCCCCTTATCCTTGGCCAGAGCCAGGCCCTTGGGGTCATGGGGGCTGGGGAGGCACCGTGGAATGTTCCTGGCATGTGCTGACAGGGGATTTCATGCTCCAGCTGGGCCGGGAGGAGCCTGCTGGGCAGAGACCTGGAGCTGGAGACTCGAGAGGGTGCCTGGGGGAGGCAGCAGTGTGAGGACGACATCGGGCTGGGTCTCCTCTGCCGGGAGGGTCTCTACCACTGACCACATCAGCTTCATCGCTCTCCTGGGCTCCTGGGGCCTGCCGGACTCTGAGCAGCTGTCCCCTCTGAGGGGCTGTGAGTGGTGAGAGGAGAGCAGGGGTGGGGGTGGCAGGAGAGAAGAGAGAGACTGAAGAGGAGGAAAGGAGAAAGAGAGACAGAGAGAGAGAGAGAGAGAGAGACTTATGGGAAGAGAGGAAAACCGAGAAATAGAAGGAGACAAATGGATGAAGAGAGACAATAAGAAAAGCCAGACACATAGAGAGAGGGATCCAGCTAAAGACAGAACCAGAGACAGGAGGCAGGCAGTGGGCATTGTGGGAGCCACAGCCAGAGGACCCGGGATGGCCCTGAGGACCCCCAGCAGGGCTCCCCTGCTCCTCATGGGGCTGCTGACCACAGGTGAGTGGGATCCCAGCCTTGTGATCCAGTACCAGTGGCCCTCATTTCCCACTCATGTTCTGCAGACGGATGACCCTCTGCCCTCTCCTGCTGACACCTCTGTGTCCCCAGGCCTGGCCCAGTTGCCGCTCTCTGCCTCGGCCCCTCGAGGCTTCTGGGCTCTGCCAGAAAACTTGACGGTGGTGGAGGGAGCCACTGCTGAGCTGCAGTGTGGGGTCCACGCCCCTGGCAGTGTGGTGCAATGGGCCAAAGATGGGCTACTCCTGGGCCCTGATCCTAGGATCCCCCGCTTCCCGAGGTACCGCCTGGAAGGAGACCCGAGTAGAGGTAAGAGATCAGGGCCTCAGACCCTGAACCACCAGCAGGGCCTGACTGTGGTCCTGACCTGGGACACCCGCTCTCACCTGCAGGTGAATTCCACCTGCATATTGAAGCATGTGACCTGAGCGACGATGCAGAGTATGAGTGTCAGGTCGGCCGCTCGGAGACAGGCCCTGAGCTCGTGTCTCCCAGAGTGATCCTCTCCATCCTGGGTATGGGTGAGAGACCCCCAGGACCCATGAGTCCAGCCCTCTCCGACTCCAGGGCCCAGGATTCCAAGGATTCCAAGCCCCCAGTCCCAGACCCAGGGAACACGTTTGATGGGCAAACTCAAAAATCCAAATCCTCATGTTTTCCTCAGTGGTGGCAGCTCACCCCAGACCTTTTCTCACCAGTGCCCCCCAAGGTGCTTCAGCTGACCCCTGAGGCAGGGAGCACAGTCACGTGGGTAGCCGGGCAGGACTACGTGGTCACCTGTGTGTCTGGGGACGCGAAGCCGGCACCCGACATCACCTTCTTCCAGAGTGAGTGTGGGTGAACTGGCCGGGACAGCATCAAGTCCCTGGAGTGGGGCGAGACTGGGTCCCTCCTAGAGGTCCCAGAAAATAGGACATTCTCGAGTGATGGGAATGCAGGAACGAACTCGGGGAGATGTTGAGGCCAGTGTGAGACCCTGCGAATGGGAGGGAACATCCAGGGAGAGGCACCACAGTCTGGGACTCAGGGAAGGGGCCGAGGCTCCAGACAGAGATGTGGGTGTCATCACTGGTGCTGAAGCAAGAAGCTGGGTGATGGCGGTGAGTGACACAACTCAGCAAGGTGGTGAGGGCAGGACTCTGGGATTCAGGGAGGCCTGAATGCCTGGAGGAACAAAGCTAGAGCTTTTCCTCCAGAAGCAGGAGGGAGGGGGCGCTATGTCCACCCTGAGGATTTCCAGGCCATTCTCCCCAGGACCTACCCTGAGGAGAAGCTGGCATCCCTTTCGCCCTCTTGTTGCTTCAAGGTGGACAAACAGTTTCTGACATCTCTGCCAATGTGAATGCGGGGTCCCAGGAGAAACTCTTCACCACAGAGGCCACAGCCAGGTGTGAAATTTGGGATGCTCTCCCCTCAGCCTGACCCCTAAATTTCTCTGCGAAGATGCCAAGCATGAAGACTAGAGTCAGGCATGAACAATCTGGGACCTAATTCTTCATCCCGATGCTCCAAAACATCTTCATGGGAACGCTATAGTTCCAGAGTATCAAGTACAAGATTTTGGCCAGGGGTGGGCCCCTGGGATCCCGGTTTTCACAGCTGACCCCCCAGAAGTCTTCCATGGAACTCGAGTTCCTCAAGGAAATTAACGGAGGGAACCTGGGATCCCCATATCTTCACCCTTACTCCCCAAATTTCAGATGATGACTCTGACTCCAGAACCCCAACTTCCCACCCCAGGGTGACACCCCAGAGCTCAGATAATGGGCAGCTATTGGTCTGTGAGGGATCCAGCCCAGCATTGGACACCCCTATCCGGGTCTCGGTCACCATGAATGTTCTGTGTAAGTGGGGAACTGAGTCAGCTGTGGGGGATGGGGAGCAGGGATTAGGGGTCCTAGGGGGTGTTCCAGGATTATGGAAGGTTCAGGTTCTCAAGGAGAAACATGGGGGTTCAGAGGCTGGTTGTGGGGCCTGGAAAGACTGGCTGGGCTCTCCAGGCCCACTGAGTGACTGCTGTTTCCCAGTCCCCCCAGGGCCCCCTGTCATTGAATGGCCTGGCCTGGACGAGGGGCATGTGCGAGCAGGACAGAGCTTGGAGCTGCTGTGTGTGGCCCGAGGGGGGAACCCGCCAGCCACACTGCAGTGGCTGAAGGTGAGGGCAGGAGCAGGCATGGGGTGGGGTGGGAGAGGATGCGGGGGTGGGGGGCTGGCCCTGAGCTGGCCCAGGTCTGTCTCTGTCTCCAGAATGGCCAGCCCATGTCCACAGCGTGGGGCACAGAGCACGCTGAGGCAGTGGCCCGAAGCATGCTAGTGATGGTCGTGCGACCAGAAGACCACGGGGCGAGGCTCAGCTGTGAGGCCCACAACAGCGTATCTACAGGGATCCAGGAGCGCGGGGTCACGCTGCAGGTCACCTGTGAGTCCCGATGCCAGATGCCCATCTGTCAGTCCATGCCCCAGAGAACCATCTGTGTCCTCAAAGCATGCCTGCCTGATGCCAGAGACCTTGTCATCTGTCCCCAGTCCCTTGTCGGGGCCGGTCTGAGTGTCTCTCCCCTGTCCCCCGGCCCCACAGTTCCCCCTAGTGCCATTACCATCTTGGGATCCGCATCCCAGTCTGAGAACAAGAATGTTACGCTCTCCTGCATCTCCAAGTCCAGTCGCCCACGGGTCCTGTTGCGATGGTGGCTGGGTTGGCGGCAGCTGGTGCCCACAGAAGAGATGGTCGTGGATGTGAGGCGGTGGCCAGGCTCCTGGGTCTGAGGGAGGAGGGAGATGAGGGCACGACTCCTGGATCTGGGGAAGGACAGGTCTGGCAGCCTGGATGACTGGGTCCTGGCCTTGTGGGCCTCACAGAGGAGGGGTGGAGATGCTTGATGTGTGTCCCTGCTGGGGTCCGGAGCGAACCCAGACCTCTGGGACCTTGGATGGGAGTGCCCTCGCTCCCAAGCCTGAAGCTCGCTCCTTACCAGGGCCTGCATGGTGGCCACATCTCCATGTCCAATTTGACGTTCCTGGTGCGACGGGAGGACAATGGTCTGACTCTCACGTGTGAGGCCTTTAGTGAGGCCTTCACCAAGGAGACCTTCAAGAAATCACTCACCCTGAATGTGAAATGTGAGTCTCCACCTTTGCCCAAGGTGTCCCATTTCCCATCCCTTAGAGACACCCCCTGCCCCCCCAACAGGCCCAGCCCAGAGAGAAAAGCTACTCTTCCTGGCTTTCCTCACAGATCCTGCCCAGAAGTTGTGGATAGAGGGTCCACCAGAGGGACAACGCCTCCGGGCTGGGACTCGAGTGAGGCTGGTGTGTTTGGCCATTGGAGGCAACCCAGAACCCTCTCTTACTTGGCTCAAGGTCGGTGCCAAACGAAGGCTATAGGGTTGGCAAGAAATGTGGGGGAAAGACGAAGCCCTTTCTCTCCTCCAGAGTCTGGGGAAATGTTGGAGAAACTTGAATTTCTTGAAAAATACTGGAGAGTTTGAATTTTGGTAGGGAATTGGAAAAGACACAAATGCCATGAGGATTAAATGGAATCCTAGGAAAATTCTGGGAGTTCTGGGAAAACAGTGAGAATTCTAGGAGAAAAGAAGGAATTCTAGATGAGGATGGGGAAGTCTAGAGAAAAGGCAGTAAATTTCATCAAAAGTAAAGGAAATTCTGGCAAAACCCTAGGGGTTCAGATGAAATGGCAGGGATTTTAGGGAAAGGTAAGAATTCCAGGTGCAAGGACAATGATGGACAAAGGTTAGAAATTCGAGGGAGAGACTAGTTATCTCACAGAACATTTGAAAACCTATTGATAGGGATCCCTGGGTGGCGCAGCGGTTTGGCGCCTGCCTTTGGCCCAGGGCGCGATCCTGGAGACCCAGGATCGAATCCCACATCGGGCTCCCGGTGCATGGAGCCTGCTTCTCCCTCTGCCTATGTCTCTGCGTCTCTCTCTCTCTCTCTCTGTGACTATCATAAAAAAAAAAAAAAGAAAACCTATTGATATTAATTTCCATTCATGGGATTAGGGGGTAAAAAGTGAAATTCCATTAAAATTAAAAGAAGTTCTGAGAAAATCCTGGGAAGTTAAGGAGCTAGTGAAAATTCTGGGGGAAAGACTAGGAATTAGAGGAATGAAGTTTAACTGGATGGAATTCTAGGAAAGTGACGAGAATTTGGGCAATCAAAAGATTCTAGGCAAAGACTAGTGTCATAAGAGAATATTGGGGAAGGATTCAGAAATCCATGGAAAGAGTGTGGAATTAAGAGAACAATCAAAGGAAATCTTGGGGAAAGTGGGAATTTTAAGAAAAAGAACTAATGATAGAAAAAAAAATGAAGAAATTCTGGGAAAGGCTTGGGGATTCCATGGGACTTTCCTGGTGTGTGGTGTTTGCTAAGTGTAGCTGGAATGGACTTTGAGGGGTGGGGCTGAGGGTCGGCAGGGGCACCAACCACTGCTGGCCTCTGAGGGCGAGTGGAGGGGTGCCTCGTAGGGGTGGAGGCCGGATCTCACCGCAAAGCCACTGGGCTCTGGGGCCCCAGGGGAGGCGGAGAGACTCTGCATGGCAGGTGCTCAATTCCAGTCCCCACTCGAATCTACTTTAGTGGGTGCCAGGGGAAGGAGGCCCCTTTGCCTCATCACACCAAGGCTTTATCAGAGCTGGCTGCAGCCAACCCAATGGGCTGTTTCTGGGGGGAAATGTTAGGGCTGCTTGTCCCCCAGTTAGTCTCTGCCCTCAGGACTCCCGGACGGTGACTGAACTGCGGCCGCCCCAGGAGCCGCGGAGGGTGCAGCTGGGAAGTCTGGAGAAGTCAGGGAGCACGTTCTCCCGAGAGCTTATACTGATCACGGGTCCATCGGACAACCAGGCCAAGTTCACGTGCAAGGCGGGTCAGCTGAGCGCATCCACGCAGCTTGTGGTGCAGTGTGAGGGCGCCCTGGGCCAGGACCTGGGGGAGGGCTTGGTCGTGGCGGGGAACTAGGCCAGAGCCAGGCTGGGGGACAATGGATATGGACAGGCAGGACGCGAGCAGCAGAGCCTGGGGTCTCGGTAAGGCGGAAGCAGGGTCTGAGCCTCGCTCTTCCCACCTGGCCCGTTCTTGAAGTTCCCCCAACAAACGTGACGATCTTGGCCAATGCTACGGCACTGCGCCCAGGGGATGCATTAAACTTGACTTGCATCAGTGTTAGCAGCAACCCTCCTGTCAACTTGTCGTGGGACAAGGAGGGGGAGAGGTGAGATGCCAGGGGCCCCCCTCCACTCTCTGGTTCTGGTCTCACGCCTTCACCGTTTGAGCCCCCACCCCCACCCCTGTGGTCCTGCCCCCTACCTAGTTTGAACCCCCCACCCCCACCCCTACCGTCCTGCCCCACACCTAGTACCTCTCTGGCTCTGGTCCACAGGCTGGAAAGTGTGGCCACACCGCCCCGTAGTGCCCCATTCAAAGGCTCTGCGGCAGCCAGGAGTGTCCTTCTGAGAATGTCACCCCGAGACCACGGCCACCGAGTGACCTGCCGAGCCCACAGTCCTGAGCTACGGGAAACCATGAGCGCTTTCTACCGCCTCAACGTGCTGTGTAAGTGGAACCCCTCTTGATTCCCTCCTGACTCTATACTACCTGGGTCTTCGCGTGGACACTCCTTTATCTCCATTCTACAGCTGGAAACTTTCCTGACCTTTATCCTTGACCCCTGGCTCTACACCAACTCCTGTCCTACCCAACCTCCATTTTGCCTTGCCCTCTTTTCAACCCTTGGCTGTGAGCCCTCTTGAACCCCTTCTCTATCTTTTAATCTGGCTCTGACCTTTACCCTTTTCCTAAACTAGATCCTGACCTCTATCCTGAACCTAACAGCAGAGCTCAGTTCTGAACTTGTTACCTTGTACACAACCTTAAATCTAGTCACGAGTCCAGCTGTAACCCTTAGACCAGTACCTGATCTCAGATCCATCCCAGACCCCAACCTTAACAACAATCTTGACTTCAGTGGCGCCCCTTCCACAGATCCTCCAGAGTTCCTGGGGGAGCAGGTGCTTGTGGTGACCGCGGTGGAGCAGGGTGAGGCACTGCTGCCGGTGTCTGTGTCTGCCAACCCTGCCCCGGAGGCCTTCAACTGGACTTTCCGCGGCTACCGTCTCAGCCCAGGTGCGTGGAGTGGTCAAGGAGAGGGGTGCAAAGGTCCCCCAGACTGGAGGGTCTGGCAGGGCCCTCACCCTGACCTCCCCCAGCTGGCGGCCCTCGGCATCGCATCTTGTCTGGTGGAGCTCTGCAGCTGTGGAATGTGACCCGCGCTGACGATGGCCTCTATCAGCTGCATTGCCAGAACTCAGAGGGCACCGCCGAAACTCTAGTGCGGCTGGATGTACACTGTGAGCACCCCTTAGTAACCCTAGCAAGCTAGGGAGTTCTGGGAGCCCCCCCCCCATGCCGAACAACACCCGTTCAGGGAGTCTTGCCCATTGTGGAGTCTCCTATGGTGGAAGCCCAGCCCACCCAGGGATAGTCACCCATGCTGAAAGCTTCCCACTCTGGAAGCTCCGACTGTGATGGAGTTGCTCTCGCTTTGAGAACCTTGCCCACTAGAGAGACCCTATGTGGAATCTGCTCAGACAGGGGTCCATTTACATGGGAGTTACTCTCATCAGGAAGCCTTGGGGCACCTGGGTGGCTCCGTTGATTAAGCATCTGACTTTTGATTTCGGCTCAGATCATGATCTCAGGGTTGTAAGATTGAGTCCTGACTAAGCTGTGCTTAGGGTGGAGCCGGCTTAAGATTCTCTCTCTCTCTCTCTCCCTCTGCCCCACTACCCCCATGTGCACATGTACAGGAGCGGTCTCTCTCTCTCTCTCTCTCTCTCTCTCTCAAAAAGGGCGGGGGGGGGAAGCCAAGTGCACTGTGGAAGCTCCACTTCCACACAATCGTGGAAGTCCGCCAGACCTACTCTTGTCACCACAGAGGCACAGCACAGTGGAGGGTGGAGGATGCCTTACTAACCCTGAGAACTTTACTCCAACTGCTCTGCATAAAGGGCAGACTGTATCATACCCGTTCATGCCTGTAATTTTCCTGAGCACCACTAGGACACTTTTCCCATCTGGAGCCTTCTCCCATCACCATCTTTATGGACACAAGTGGCTTTCCCACCCCTTTTGCCTTCCCCAGATGCTCCCACTATCCGAGCTCTCCAGGATCCTACTGAGGTGAATATTGGGGGTTCTGTGGACATAGTCTGCACTGTTGATGCCAATCCTATCCTTCCAGAGATGTTCAGCTGGGAGAGGCTGGTAAGGATATGACCTTTGGTAAATGAAGATGGGGGCTTGAGGATGTGGTTTCCTGATTATGAGCTCCTTGGGGAGAGGGATCACAGCTATATGATCCTGTATAACTATATGTTGTTGGGACATGCTCCAAGAACTAACTAACTGTTGAGTGACAGATGGATGGGTGCATGAGTGAATAGATAACCATGTGAGTGGGTGGGCAGGTGGATGGATATATGGATCAATAGGTAGGTGGATGGATGAATAAGTGAATGGAAGAACAGAGGGACAAACAAACAAGTGAATGGGTGGGTAGTTGATGAATAGAAGAGTGGCAAAATGGTTCAATGAGATAAATGAATAGATACATTGATTAGATTAGAGGGTAGATGGATGGATAAATACACATCAGTGGAAAGATGTCTGTGGAAGGAGGATGGATGAATGGATGGATGAGTGCATGGGGCAATAGAGAGATGGAGAAATGGATAAACAAGTAGTTGAATGAACTGATGAATAGTTGCATGTATTTATGGGTATGTGCATGTATGAGTAAATAGAAGAGGTGGATGGATAGAGATGGAAGGGTGGATAGGAGGATAGGTAGAAGAAAAAAAAGGATTGGATGAATGAATGGGCAAATGCACAAATGGATGAAGGAGAGGTAGATGGATAGATAGATATGAATAAATCAATGAAGAGACGGATGGTTAAATAGATGGAGAGATAGATGGTTCCAAGCATGAATGGTTGGATAAATGGATGGGTGAATAGTTTTCTGGGTTGGTGGATGAATGGATGGGCCATGAATGAATGATTGGATACATGGATAGATGGATGGATGACTGGTGGAATGGATAAACGGATAGGGGAATTTTTTCTTCACTAGATCTTTGGAGGGTGATTCTGTCTAGGAGAAAAAAGCTACAGGAGGGACACAGTTTGGGGGATAATGGAGCTACAAACTTGGGGGCCATCTCCTGTATCTTGTGCCGCAAGGGAGAAGAGGAGGAGGACCAGAGCCTGGATGACATGGAGAAGATATCAAAAGGATCCACAGGGCGTCTTCGAATTCACCATGCCAAACTGGCCCAGGCTGGTGCTTACCAGTGCATCGTGGATAATGGAGTGGCACCTCCAGCCCGAGGGTTGGTCCGACTTGTTGTCAGATGTGAGTAACACCCAAACTCCTGATTTCAAGGCCTGCCACTAAACTCACATCTCTCATGTCCTACCACATACCTCATATTGACCAACAACTCCTCCTAGTTGCCCCCCAGGTGGAGCACCCCACTCCCCTAAACAAGGTGGCTGCAGCTGGAGACAGTACCAGTTCTGCCACTCTCCACTGTCGTGCCCGAGGCGTCCCCAACATCATCTTCACTTGGACCAAAAATGGAGTCCCTCTGGATCTCGAGGATCCCAGGTGAGTCAAGGCCTAGCCAGGTAGTGCTCTAGTCCCAACTTTGGTTCCTCGACCCCAGTTACTCTTCCTGAATCCCTGCCACACCTCCTCTCCAGGTACACAGAGCACACATACCACCAGGGTGGGGTCCACAGCAGTCTCCTGACCATTGCCAACGTGTCTGCAGCCCAGGATTATGCCCTCTTCACGTGCACAGCCACCAACCCCCTTGGCTCAGACCACACCAACATTCAACTCGTCAGCATTAGTATGGTGGGAGCGGGCTGTGCGGGTGTTGGGAGGATGTGCCCTGGGTCAATTTCCAAGTCTCTTGTTGGCCCAGAATGGCAGTGTTCCCAAAACCTGGGAAATGTTTATGAGCAGGATGGAGTTTCTGCCTGCCCTGAAAATTCTAACGGAGACTAGATCTTCAGGGAAATCCACAGCAAGGGAAAAAGGAGGGAGAGGGTACTTACTGGCCTGAATAACTAAAAAGTACATTGTCAGGGGTCGATGGATCTATGTTCAGGTCATCAAGAACTCTCTGACTCTCAGGTCTGCTTTTTTCTGTGTTGGCTTTATTCTAAGGCTCCTCATAGAGGGCTGTTGGATTTTCCAGGAGAAATGGAATTTATTTCTCTCCTAACAGTGTATGAAAGTACTAGACTTAAAATTTATTGGCTCTACTCAGCTCCCATCACATCCCTGAACCAATCTTGTGGTTAGGAAAGGTTTGGCCTGGTCACATATCTCTCCTACAAGGAGTAGAGTCACTTCCATCAGAAGCACCTGGCCTGAGAATGTGGGTGAGTGGTTTTCCAAAGGATATTCAGGGTTCTACAACCAGAAGAAATGATGAATGAATGTGACATCGGCGCCAAAAAATCCACACAGAGAAGATATGTCATATATAGGCTAGGCTCATATTTAGCAAGTCTGTATTTGCAAATTTGTCTACTTGCTAAAATTTATTTGTATCCTCAGAATCAATACTCATGTGCTTTCTTGGGTCATTCAGGAACATGTACAGAGCAGGCAAAAAAATACAGTCATCCAGTAAGCACATTCTTAGCTAGGGTAGAACCAGGTGACACTCCGTTCCAGCTTTCATACTACAAGGAAGTATTCTCTCTGCGGCCTATTGAGTGCCGTATTTTTTGCACTTTTGTGCTTTTTGTTAGTGATTTTGCTATTTAAAGTAATCGCTAGCCACAGTGCTGAAGTCTAGAGTTCCTAAGGATATGGAGAAGACACTTCTATTGGATAAGCTTCGTTCAAACATGAATTATAACACTGTTGGCCATGAGTTCAATGTTAATGAATCAATAAGATATATTAAATAAGGTGTCTTTAAACAGAAACATAAAAAAACAAGGTCATGTATTGATTGGCTGATGAAAATATTGTGACAGGATGTTCACAGGAATCTAAATGCATTTCCCCCAGAAGCAATGATTTGATGTTCTGTAATTCAGTGTTCATAGCAAGTTTATAGAACATTACTGCCACTAATCAGAAGAATTGATTATATATTTAAAATAATTCTTAGAAAAATCTAGAAGGAATCTTCCAGAACCCTGTTGTTATCCTCTGACTAGTTCCCTCATCCTTTTCCTCAAAGGCCGCCCGGATCCCCCATCAGGATTAAAGGTTGTGAGCATGACCCCATATTCAGTGGGGTTGGAATGGAAGCCTGGCTTTGATGGGGGTTTGCCACAGAGGTTCCAAATCAGGTGGGTCCCTGTTAAGGTAGAAAGGGATAGAAGCCGACAGGGCTAGGGCACCTCCTGAATGACTGCCCTCTCTTTCATGCAGATATGAGGCACTGGAGACTCCAGGGTTCCTCTACATGGACGTCCTACCACCTGATGCCACCACCTTCACACTAACTGGGCTACAGCCTTCTACACGATACAGGGTCTGGCTGCTAGCCAGCAACGCCCTGGGGGACAGCGGACTAACTGACAAGGGGTCCCAGATCCCTATTACCACCCCAGGTGGGAAGGGACAGTCTTGAATAGGTTGCAGAGCTCCTCAGTGGACTTATGGGGTGATATAGTGAAGTAGATATTTATTATTCCCTTTGTATAGATGAAGAAACTGAGGACCAGAGAGGTGAAGCAAACTGTTGAGGCTCACATAGCTAGAAGGAAGTAGAGATGAGATTGGAACTCAGACAGATGAACTCCAGGAACCAGTTTTTATTTTTTAATTTTTATTTATTTTTTAAAAATATTTTATTTATTTATTCATGAGAGACACACAGAAAGAGAAGCAGAGACATATGCAGAAGGAGAAGCAGGCTCCTCGCACGGAACCCTATGTGGGACTCGATCCCGGGACTCCAGGATCACGCCCTGGGCCAGAGGCAGGCACTAAACCACTGAGCCACGCAGGGATCCCCAGGGACCAGTTTTTAGCCACTAAACTATACTGTCTGAAACAACACAAGGGAAATTAGAAGAATGTATGCTTTGAATGGAAAGGAAATTATGGAAATTGTGAGGTGCAGCTAAAGCAGTGCTGAGCAGGACATTTATAACATTAAGGTGGCCATTTAATTTTTTTAAAAAGCTTCAGATTGATGCTTAGTTGCCATCTTTAAAATGGAATTAGAAAAAGAAGAACAAATTAAACCCAAAGTAAACAGAAGGAAGGAAATAATAAAGAGCAAAATGAACTAGAAAACAGAAAAACAATAGAGAAAAATAAATGAAACCAAAAGCTGCTGCTTTGAAAGGTCAATAACCTTCATAAAGTGAATCAAGCCAAAAAAGAGAGAAGAGACAACTACACCAATCTCAGGAATGACAGAGGGCATCACTACTAACCCTTAGACATTAAGTGGAAGTTAGGGAATATTACAGACAACTTGATACCAATAAATTCAGCAACTTTGAGGAAAGGGACAAATTTGTTGATATGACTAATGAGAACATTTTGACTCTGGCAGGCACTGTAATGTAACAGCTCATCACACAGAGCCTGGTTTAGACAAGCCTGGTTTCAGGTCTCAGCCCTGCCACTTCCTAGTCATGAGACCTTGGGCAAGTTACTTAACATTTTTGAGCCTCAGTTTCTAAAAATAAGGTATCTCAGATCTCTGTGCCTATTTCTGAAAGTAGGTCTCCTTCAGACAGCTGTGAGGATTAAATAAATTACTTTATCTAAAGTGCTTAGAATGGGGACGTGTACAAAGTAAGTGCTATGTAAATGCTGATTTAAAGAAATGTTCCCTGCTCAACTTCTGCTTACCCCAAGAGAGCTTCCTTTTTCTGTCTTTCCCTTCCTGACAGAGCAATCTTTTTCCTTATGGAGGTAAGGAACTTCTCCCATTCCTCTTCTTTCCTTCTCCCATTACAGTCTTTGCTCTAAGTTCTAAAGCATAAAGTACTACACTCACTTCACTTGCTCTAGAACTAATACCTCTATTAAGACATTTAGAGAGCTCAGCATCTTTTTTGGTTAACCGTCCAAAATTGATAATTTGGGTTAAAAGGACCTTCCATATCATAAAGCACTCATCAATAATAATAATATATAATTATATACTAATTATTATCATTATTATTACTATTGGCATTAGATATTGCCCTTACTATCAGCAATCTGCAGTGTCTTGAAATATTCCTTTTTAAAGAAATATTCATTTATTTCTTCAAATAAATAAATAAGAAAGAGAGAAAGAGAGAGAATGCACGAGGAAAAGGGGCAGAGGGAGAGGGAGAGATAATTGCAAACAGACTCCCTGCTGAGCGCAGAGCCTGAAGGGTGGATCAATCTCACCACCCAAAGATCATGACCTGAGCCAAAATCAAGAGTTGGTTGCCCAACCAACTGCATCACTCAAGTGCCCCTGAAATACTCCTAAGAAGCCATAAATCAGTTCCTCAAAATGGGTTGAAAAGCTTAATAGGAAACTGTGAAATATTTAAGGCTTACTCAGATTCTTGGTGTTAATTCACAATCTCTATACCCACCCCCAGGTCTAGACGAGCCTTCTGGAGAACCTGACTACCAGCTGCCCACAGAGCAGCCTGTAGGTAGGTTTTCAATTTCTTAAATATCCCTCTCACCCCTGAGAATAGAACATTCTGGTTTCCAACCCCACCACCTCTGTTTTGTGGCCACAGCCCCTTAAGACTTAGCTCTGTCTGTTATACAATGTCCTAAGCTCTATCTTTTGCTTGAATATGATACATTTTCTCTCTAATTCAGTTTAATTCTGAAAGAATTAGCTGGTTCCACACCCTGTGCAGAGCCTATATCAATTTGCTTTTTAAAAGAAGATCTATTTATTTATATTAAGGACAGAGAGTGGGGGAGAGGGAGACTCAGAGAATTTAATCAGACTCCCTGATGAGAATGGAGCTGGAGGCGAGGGCCCCAAGGCAGAGCCCCACACAGGGCTAACACACACCTGGACATGGGCCTGGACATGTGTCACAAGGCCCTACGTGGGGCTCGATCTCACCACCCTGAGATCATGACCTCAGCTGAAACCAAGAGTCAGATGCTTAACTGACTGTACCACCCAGGTGCCCCTGTATTTATTGGCTTTTGATATAGAATAAACCAATTCAAACAATGATTATAGCAATAACCATTGTTTTTCTTGATTCTATGAGTGGCTGAACAGTTCTAGTCTGGGCTACAAGCAGCTGGAGGCTCATCTGGGACTGGTTGATCTAGGATGGCCTCCTCCTCACACATCTGACAATCTAGTTCTTAGTTGGGACAATAGAGATAACTGGGTGACATGTCTCTCCTTGACTTGTTCACATGGAGGTGGTCACAAGAGTCCCAAGAGCAGCAGGACTGGGCAAGCACTTTCAAGCTTCTGATTCTGTCATACTTGATGTTGTCTCATGGGCTGAAGCAAGTGACATGGCTTAACTCAGAGTTAGTGTGGAAAGGGACTACTCAAGAGTGTAGTTACAGGGAGAGAATTATGACCATTTTGCTAACAATCCCCCTTCAAAGCCTGAGAAGAAAGTTGCAAGTGACAGAAATTCAGCTGTTGTGGGCAACAAAAAGATTTGCTTGGCTTGGGAAATGGAAAATTCCAATAGGTGATCACAATTTTCACGAAGGACCTATTCCTCTCTCTCAACTTTGCCTTCATTTTTGATGGCCTCCTTCTCAGGTTCTTTTGTCAAGAGTGCAGAGAAATACCTGTTCCCCTCCACACACCTCCAGCTTTGTTCCACTTCTCACCAGTCTGTAGAGGAATGTCCTAAATGTTATGGCAAAAATCCACCTTGGGTCAAATGCTAGATGGGTCTGAACTGATCACTGTGGAAAGAGGGATGAGTGCTCTTATTGGCCAGGGAGGGCCATGTGTCCTCCATGGAGATCTGTGGGAACATATAGCCTGAGGAGGAGGAGGAGGAGGAGGAGGAGGAGGAAGAAGAGAGAGAGAGAGAGAGAGAGAGAGAGAGAGAGAGAGAGAGAGAGATTGGCTATTTTCTCAAAGGAAAATGAGTGCTGTTAGCAGAAGATAGGGAGACAAATGCTGAGCAGATGTCTACTTAGAGGGATTTAGTCTTGTCCTTTAGGGATATAGCAGAAGACTCTGATATTACCTGGAATGGAAGTTTGTGCAAAGAAGTCATTTGAGAAGAAAATCAGTTGGGAAAAAAGAACATTTAAGGACAGACATTTGACTCTTCCAAGGTTTAGGGGTGTGGCTTTGCCTCAGTGATTCTGGAAATAGCCAGTAGTTTGTGTGGTTGGAGAGTCCAATACCAGGGTCTATGGATGGTGGGTGGGGCTGAATACATGGGAAGAGGTCTTGAATGCCCATATAAGGAGCTGAAGCTCCCACTTGAGTCTACACATGGGGCTCACGCAAAGGTAGGACCCACTGTTAGTAGCTTGACTTGAGAAAGGAGCCACCTGCCCTGAGGTGGCAAGAGGGAGTGGGCATGGAATTCCCTCCCATCTCCTTCCTTGATCTAGGAAAAGAGACTTTGCTTAGTCAGAAGCAAGCTTTCTCAGAGAATGCTGCTCCGGGCCTAGAGCCAGTTGTTTTGGGTTCACTGAGGGGTATCTTCTGCCCTCAGGACCCTCAGGGCTTCCTCTACTGCCTGTGCTGTTTGCTGTTGGGGGTCTTTTGCTGCTTTCTAATATCTCCTGTGTTGGAGGATTCCTCTGGCAGCGGAGACTGAGGCGTCTTGCTGAAGGTGAGGAGAGACTGTTCTTCCCCTGCAGGGATGGAGGCCCAAGGGTGAAGGGAGCCCTGGGGCTGCTCCATATTGAATGTTTCCCAGGGCTGGTTCGCCAGAGAAGGGATGTCTTTGATCCTTTTTTTCCTACTTTCCATAGGCATCTCGGAGAAGACAGAGACAGGGTAAGTGGGAATATTTTTCTGTAAGAAAGCCTCTGAAGAAAGAGGTTTGGGGATGAGAGATATCAGAGTCAAGACCCAGCTGCTCTCCATACCTCTATCCTGGAAGGTCGGAGGAGGACCGAGTCAGGAATGAATATGAGGACAGCCGGTGGACTGGAGACCGGGACACTCGAAGCTCCACAGTGAGTGGGGGGTACTCCTGAAAGCCCTGCCAGGGAACTGGCATATTAAAATTCCATCATTAACTTCAGGTTAATCATTGTCCTTTATGGGAACTATGGAGCCAGAGGATGGAAAAGATTTTATCTGGTTTTTTTGGGGGGTGGGGGCTACTGACAGGTTAGCACAACAGATGTGGAACCATATTACCACTCCATGAAGAACTTCAGCCCCCAGCTGCCACCAACACTGGAGGAGATGTCTTATCCCCGAGGTAAGCCATGACAGTGTCACAACTCCTTCTGCTCATAGGTACCCCTGACCTCTGGACAGATCCCCTGATCATCCCTTCCTTCCACTCCAACTTCAGGTTTCACACATATTGAAGAGGAGAATATGGCTTTTCCTGGACACCTGTATGATGAAGTGGAAAGGCTATATGCTCCGCCTGGGGCCTGGGGACCCGTCTATGATGAAGTACCAATGGTGAGCAGATTTGTACCAGCAGAAGTCTTTCCTGGATAGTGCCAGAAAACCACATCCTACTGTTTATATTAGTTAGGGTAAGCTAGAGGCCATAGCACAAAGCCCTCACTATGATCCTATTTCCTTCTCACATAGCAATCAGAGGTGAGTGACCCTATTGCACATGGTTACTCCAGAACTCAAGTTCTTTCCATTGTATTCCTTTGCCATCCTCTAGTCCATATTTGTTCAAGTTTGCATGGATAGGCTAGTTTACTGCAGGTTTCAACTGGTGTGAGAGGGAAAAAGAGAGTGCGGTAGAGGCAAAACCCTGTATTATGGTCCAGGCCCAGAAATGATGCACTCTACTCATTCCCTGATGAGATCACAGTCACATGGTCACATCTAACTGAAAAGGAGACTGAGAAATATAGTCCAGCTTGTCAGCTACATGCCTCACTATAGCTCTATTACTGTGGGAAAAATAAGCAATGCATTCTATTGGATAATTAGCCTTCTCCACTACACTGGTTAAGCAGAGATATAGAGGGGTGTAGCAGAGAGAAAAAATTTTTGGCCCACTCAACTGAAAAGTCAAGGGATAGAATAGTCTTCAGGTCCCACCCAGGTGGACCCAGAGTTTCCTCCCTAGAGTGTCCTTAGAAAATGCAGATTTGTATCCTATTAGATTGGAAACCTTCAGAGAAGGAGAAAGCTTCTTTTCCAATAGCCCTAAAGTCCCAGAGCTGACACTTTATTAGTCTAACATTGGTCGCATATTTATTGATGAACCACCGACGCAGGGGAAAGACTATGCTAATTGGACAGGTCTGGATTGGTGCCCAGCTATGGCATTAGGGAGTAGGGGCGAATTTCACTCAACCCACTGGACTGAGTGAGAGAGGAACAGGGAATCCAGAGGGAAGTGAAGATGGTGGCTGGGCAGGCAAGAACAACAGACACCTTGACCATCAACTACCCCCACATACTGTAAGGGAGGTGGAGCAGAACCCTTGACTTTCTGTGTGGCCTTGGCTAATGCTCTGGCACCTCTGGCCAAGAATTTCCCTCTGTAACTTTGTCCCAGATGGGGCACTGTTCTCAGAAGCGTGGGAATAACGTGCCTTAAAATGCTGTGCCACGTCAAAATGCTGTCCGTGGTGCTGAACCATATGTGCTCTCTAAAGCACAGATGCAATCTGCACACTTTTTCTGTAAAGGTCCAGATAGTAAATACTTTGGGTTCTGCAGGACATGCCTGTCCTTTTTGAAACTACTCAGTTTTGCCGCTGTAGTATAAAAGCAGCTATAGACAATACATAACTGAATAAGTATGGCTAAGTTCCAATAAAATTTTATTTTTGGACACTGAAATTTGAATTTCATAAATTTTCATATGTCATAAATATTCTTCTTCTGATATTTTCCCATTAATTAAAAATATGTAAAACCATTCTTAGCCCCAGGCAGTACAAAAACAAGCAGCAGGCTGTATTTGGCTCACGGGCAAATCTGCTCTAAAGTTTGCCGAGCTAAAACAACCATTTTCTCCTAATCCTATGGCAAAACACATTTCCAGTAAGGACTGTTCCACATGGCCATTTTTTGCCTTCTATTTTGATGAAGATTTGGAAATTTATAGGACTAACAGAATCATGACTCACATTCCACTCCAATTTCGATAACATGCATTTTTAAAAGTTTCATATTTCTGACATTTAAATTATTTTTCTGACAGAAATCATGAGATATCTTGGACTTGCTTAAAAATAACCCAGTTAGTGGGGTTAGGAGATGAAAAGATGGAGATATGGATAAATCAAGATTGACCAAGGGTTGATATTAATTAAGCTAGGTGATGGGTACATGGAGGTTCATGATGGAGGCTCATTATCACTCTCTTCTTTGTAGTTGGATTCCCCCCCCCCTAATTAGAAGCTAAGACTTTTTTTTTCTGAGAAGTTGAGTAGGAGTGTGTATCCCTTTTGGAGCTGCAATGATGATCCCCAGGGCATATGTCTATGGTTCTAACTCCACCTTTGGTTGTCAGGGCCCCTCTGACCCCTGCTGGCCTGAGGAGACATATGAGGATACAAGAAGAATCTACGATCGGGTGGCAGGAAACTTGGACCCTGTGGAAACTGATTCTCTACCCTTTGAGCTGAGGGGACATCTGGTGTGAGAGCCTTCCCAACACCCTTTTCCTACATCTGCAAGACATAATATTCCAATGATCTTTTTTATTCCAACATGGGCTGAGCTTGTTAAGTGAGCTTCATGAGACACAAAGGGATAGGACTATTTTTGAGAGAGGTGTATGTAAGTAACAGGAGATGATTCAAGCTGGTGCCAACAGGCTTATATAAATAAGACTCCTCTGGGAGGTGGCTTTAGAAACTAAACTTCTCCAAAAAGAAACAGTGGATTGTAAGAGACATCTCAATAATGAAAAGCTACTTAAGGGTCTTTATGCTTTTTAAAGTAAAATTTTCAGAAGTTGGAAAAGACCTATTTAAAATAGTTCATTTTGAGTTCAACTACACCCAAAATAGCTAATAATAAGTGGAATTTATGAACTATTATTATGTCCTACTTGTTTTATTATTTTTCTACAGGTATCTAAAATATGACATATAAAAATAAAATAAAATAAATAAAATATGACATATATAAACTATGATACACATGTAAACATAAATAGACTATAGAAAATAAAAAGGCAATAAAACAAGCTAGAAACAAAAGAAAATATATTGTATGATTTCACTTCTAGAAATTCTAAAACAGGCAAAGCTAATCTAAAGTGACAGAGCAGATAAGCAGTTGCCTGGGACCAAGAGAAGAAAATTGACTGCAAAAGGGCACAACAGAATTTTTTGGGGTAAATGTTCTATATCATGATGTGGTGGTGGTTTCATGGGTATATAGATTTGTCAAACTCATTGAACTGTACACTTACGATGGGTGCATTTTATAGTACATAAATTATACCTCAGTAAAGGTAATTTGTAAAACAGTGTCCATAATAAAGCACCCCAGGAAGAGAATTCTTTTTTTTCCAGCAAGAGAATTTTTATTGTTTATATTGAACAGCAGACAGAGGAAAAGTCTGCCTCTTTTCACGGAAAAGAGAGTATAGCTAAGTATAATCTTCATTTATGACTCCACTTCTATTTGATTAATCATATTATTGAAACTGTAGGTTCAAATGCTCATCAACATATTAATTTTTTTAACCAGGGCAGACTAAAATAAGCTTTTATACTACAGCACTTGAATACACAAATACACTGGGGCCCAAACAATTCTCCTTTAATTTAAAAGATGATTCCATTTCTAAAAGTAGAATTTTTCCGTGTGGTTTTTTTTTTTTTCAAAGAAGAAACCCACAACATTCTGTTTCCACACTGGCTAAGCAGGAAAGGTGAGTTTATTGTTTTTTCTAGCTGACAACATCAGAGAAATGCTGGCCGCAAGCACTGCTGGGCACAGTATTGAAACACAGCCAGGAAGGATCTATTTTTCTATGTCTTTGGCTCTGCTTCTCTCTGTGTTGATTTTATCCTCAGGTAGAGTCTTCATTTAAGAAAGAAAAATGACCACTTACAGCTCTAGGCTGGCATTCCATAAGCTCAGCAGTCACAATGTCTCTTTTGCCAATAGTTCTGGAAAGTCCTGTGGCTGTTTTTCCCTCAGCCCAGCTTGGGTTTTAAGCCCATGCCTGAACCAGTCATTGTAGCCAGGGGAGAGAATATGCTGATATTTGCGGATCTGGGTTGCTGGGTACCACTTGAACTGCTTGGGTAAGATTCCACAAAGGAGCTCCATGCTGTGGTTGGGTCTCTTCATGCACTTCCTATTTCCTCTTTGCCATTGTCTGAATCAACGTAGCAAATATCTATTGCTTCTGTCTGCTCAGAATCTAGTTCCTTTTAACTCACCTAAATAACTATGAATGAGACAAGTTCCTGATCACAACAAGCTCCTGGATCCAGCTGTACCTGAAGTTAGGGCTGCTTCTGGACAATAAATTCCCCTCCTCAATGAGGCCAATCTGAATGGTGGTTTTAGTTAGTTGCAACCATAAATTACCCTCTTTCTTAAGCCAGTTCAAATGGGGGCCTTTCGTTAATGGATACAAAAAATGGATAATTTGCAGAAACCCACTCAAGCTCAAGTAGAGATTTAAAAAAAACATATATTTTACTAGTTCTAAGGGGAAAATGATTTCATAGTTGAGAAAACATGATAGATGCCACCTTAACTAAATGATCAAAGTTAAGATCATCAGTCATCAAAACGGCATCACAAACCTTCTGGTATGAAACACTGAGGATTAGATAGAATGTCAATGATATTCCAGAGTAAAACGTATAATGTGAATCTAATAATGAGGAAGACAGGTAAGAATAAAAGGATATTCTATAAAATAACTGGCCTGTAATCTTCATATATGTCAAGTTCATGCAACACAAAAGAAGAAAAAGAAAGAATGTTAAAAAAAAGAACATTGAGGAATTGTTTCGGATTAAAGGAGACTAAAGAGGTATCAGAACTGAGGGTAACACATAATTTCCATAAAGGGTATTATGGGGCCAACTGGCAAAACTAAATAAGGATTGTAAATTAGATAATATTTTATTCATCGTCATCTTCATCTTTGTCTTCTTCTCTTGAGATTTTTATTTATTATTTATTCATGAGAGACACAGAGAGAGAGAGAGGCAGAGAGAGAGGCAGAGGGAGAAGTAGGCTCCCTGCGGGAAACCCAATGTGGGACTCAATCCCAGGACCCCGGGATCATGCTCTGAGCTGGTCGAAGGCAGACTCTCAACCACTAAGCCACCCAGGCGTCCCTAGATAATAATATTGTATCAGTATTAATTCTATTATACTATGGTTGTGTAAGAGAATATCCTATTCTTAGGAAATGTACACTTATGCATTTAGGGTAAAAGGGTATTGTCTCTTTAGTTTACTCTCAAACAGCTGATAGGGAAAAAAGTGTATATACACAGAGATAGAAAAGGATAAAACAAATGTGGTAAAATGTTGACTGTTGGAGAATGTGAGTGAAGTGTATTGAGATTCTTGTTACTATTCTTTTTTTTTAATTTTTATTTATTTATGATAGTCACAGAGAGAGAGAGAGAGGCAGAGACACAGGCAGAGGGAGAAGCAGGCTCCATGCACCGGGAGCCCGACATGGGATTCGATCCCGGGTTTCCGGGATGGCGCCCTGGGCCAAAGGCAGGTGCCAAACCGCTGCGCCACCCAAGGATCCCCTCTTGTTACTATTCTTATATCTGAATCTATATATTGGTATATCTGAAATTATGTTAAAATTTTTTTAAAGATTTTATTTATTTATTCATGAGGACACACACAGAGAGAGGCAGAGACATAGGCAGAGGGAGAAGCAGGCTCTCTGCAGGGATCCCAATGCAGGACTTGATCCCGGGACTCCGGGATCATGCCCTGAGCCAAAGGCAGACCTCAACATCACCCAGGCATCCCTGAAATTATGTTAAAATCTTAAAAAATATATTGTAAAGCTGCATGACAATGTCACAGAAGCAAAAAATAAGAAGTGCAGCTGGGTCTCATGGTTATGTAAATCTATCCAGTTCTTTTCATCTTTCATTAGTCCATTCATCTTTTGTCTGAATCCATCAGCAGATTTCCTCCATTCTCTCCTTGTAAATATTTAGCTTCCCTCCTTATGCATAATGATTGCTTGTCGAGGGATTGGCTCCCCCAGTTCTAAAGCACCACGAAGCCCAACACCACATAACTGCTTGACTCTGAAATGTGGTATCCTTATTCCAAATTCCAGGCAGGTCAGATCTGATTGGCTCAAGTTGGGTTAAGAAAAGGAAATCATAAGAGGAATAAAGAATATCTAGGGACGCTGGGTGGCTCAGCGGTTGAGCGTCTGCCTTTGGCTCAGGGCATGATCCTGGGGTCCTGGGATCGAGTTCTGCATCAGGCTCCCTGCTTGGAGCCTGCGTCTCCTTCTGCCGATGTCTCTGCCTCTCTGTGTGTGTCTATCGTGAATAAATAAATAGAATCTTTTAAAAATATATCTAAAACTGGATTTTAAAAAATGAAGATACTACCTATCAAAAATTTTTAATGCAATTTTAAAAAATGAAGATACTACCTATCAAAATTTTTTGAATGCATTTTTTTGAAAATAAGTGTTTTGAAGGAAATTTATACCCTTTAGTTCTTACACTAGAAAAGAAGAAAGCTTCAGAGTCATGAACTAAGTAACTACCTTAAGAAACTAGAAAATGTCATTTCTCTAAAAAAGAGATACAGATGGCCAACACATGAAAAGATGCTCAACATCACTGACCATGAGGGAAATGCAAATCAAAACTACAATGAGATATCACCTCACACCTGTCGGAATGGCTACAATAAAAACCACAAGAAACAACAAGTGTTGGCAAGGATGTGGAGAACAAGGAATCCTCATGCACTGTTGGTATGAATGCAAACTGGTGTAGCCACTGTAGAAAAAGGTATGAAGTTTCCTCAAAATTTAAAAATGGCACTACTTTACAATCCAGTAATTGTACTACTGGGTATTTATCCTCAAAATGCAAAAACACTAATTCAAAGGGATTACAGGCACACCTATGTTTATTGCAACATTATTTACAATAGTCAAAATATGGAAGCAGCCCAAATGTCTATTGATAGATAGATAAAGAAGATGTGATATATATATATATATATATATACATAATGGAAAATCATTCAGACATAAAAAAGAATGAAATCTTGCCATCTGCAATAACATTGATGGAGCTAGAGAGTGTAAAGCTAACTGAAATAAGTCAAAGAAAGATAAGTAACATATGATTTAACTCATATGTGGAATTTAAGAAACAAAACAAATGAACAAAAGAAAAAAATAAGAGTGACAAACCAAGAAAAGGATTCTTAATTATAGAGAACAAACTGATGGTTACTAGAGGGGGGGTGGGGGGATGGGTGAAATTGGTGAAGAGGATCAAGAGTCCACTTATGAATAGCACTGAGTAATGTACAGAATTGTTGAATCACTGCATTATACACCTGAAACTAATATAATATTACATGTTAACTACACTGGAATTAAAAATTTAAAACTTAATAAAATTTATAATAATAATAATAATAAAATGTGGAATTTTTTTTTAAAAAGAAAAAAAGGAGACTAGAAAATGAACCATAGAATAAACCCAAAGAGAATAAAATATTTCTTCTACTTTTAAGAAAATTAAAATATTACTTGCTTTGGCAGCACATACACTAAAATTGGAACAGGGGCGCCTGAGTGACTCAGTTGATTAAGCGTTTGCCTTTGGCTCAGATCATGATCCCAGAGTCCTGGGTTGGAGCCCCACATCGTGCTCCCTGCTCCATGGGAAGTCTCCTTCTCCCTCTCCCCTGCTCATCCTCTTTCCCTCTCACTCACTCACTCTCTCTCAAATAAATAAAACCTTAAAAAACAAATTGGAACAACACAGAGAAGATAGCATGCCCCCTGTGCAAGGATGACACACAAATTAAGAAATGATCCATATTTTTAAAAAAGAAGAAAATTAAAATAATGTAAAATAGATTCTTTTTTAAATTTTATTTTTTTAAGATTTTATTTATTTATTTACGAGAGACACACACACAGAGAGAGAGAGAGAGAGAGAGGCAGACAGAGGAGCAGGCTCCATGCAAGGAGCCTGATGCAGGACTCAATCCCGGGACTCCAGGATCATGCCCTGGGCAGGAGGCAGACGCTAAACCACTGAGCCACCCAGGGATCCCCAAATTTTATTTTATTTTTTAAATAGGCTCTACTCTCAGCATGGAGCCCAGCACAGGGCTCAAACTCACGACCTCAAGATTGAGACCTGAGCTGATACCAGAAGAGTCAGATGCCCAACTGACTGAGCCATTCAGG